TAATAGTTACTTAAATACTGACAACATTTGACAATATAGTCAAATGTACACAGGCTTAGTTGAAGAAGAGTAAAAGAAAACAGCCACACCTCATCACCAAAGCCCTGTGTACTCTGTGTGTACATGTACCTCTCCCTGTGTCTAACCTTGAGGTCATGTCAAGTCCACCACATTCCACTAGACAGGACCATGCTAAACCTGCAGAAAAACACATTTACTATCTCTTATCCCCAGAACAAAGACTGGACTCATAAAGACAGCTTTAGAATCTACTTCATACTTCTCGTAAACACTGAGTTCCAGTTTGTTGGGGAGAAGAGACTTGACTTTTTGTAGTAGCCTTGTGAAGAAGACAATTAAGCTGCATTCCTGAAGCGACTGTGGCTCCTGTATCTGAACTCTTGCTGTTTAGACCCGCCACTTTACTTTAGCCCCACCCCCTTTACTATTCAGCTGTCCTATTAAAACACAAATATATGGCCTATATGACCACCGTCTTCACATTCCACTGATTAGCCTCACTCAGAGGTGCAACAGAAAAAGGACAACACAGTATTCACTTGAAGAAACTGCACTTCTATTAACAAACCTATTACTTCTACTTGAGTGGTATAATTTTGTTTGTGGTTAATGGGTGAATGCATAGCTCAGTGTGCCACTGTTGCCTCACTTCAACTAATCTCTTTTTCCAGTCTGTTCTACTTATGTACTGACTCATCTACACAAATCATTACAATACATTTTTTTTTTTTTACTTTTACATTACTTTTAATGATGCACCCATATCAATACTGGTATTGAATAACAACACCGAGCCAGGAGAATGTGATGGATCTGGAATTAGTTCCATAATATAGACAGAAAAATCAGTTTAACTGATACCATGGTTTAGTCTTTAATTGGATGTAATGAGTAGTAGCATGATCCAGCTTTTCCAGTTCTGATACCTGAGAACTGAGACCTGATATCAACAAATACCAGTGCAGAGACAGTATTTATATCCTTAAAACATAAATAAAATAAGACAAAACTGATATATATGTTATGTAGCTCTTATTTATCTTTCAAGTAACAGAACAACACAACAATACACATTCAAACTTATGAGTTTATGAGTTTCTGGATCAATCACGAGCAGTAAATAGTCTTAACATATCAATTTATAGGTCCAATAAGGATATCGACAGAAGCGATATTTAGAAGCCGTTATCTATGTTGTGTTTTAGTATCTGAGCATATATTTGATCAGATCAGTGCATCCCTAATAATGAGACTATTTATTGACTGAAATAGAACCAATACGTGTCATAATGTTTGAACTTTAATTGATACAAAGCAGTCGGTAGTTATTGGCAGGATAAATATTTTATAATTTTATAATAATTTAACTGTTTTGGGTGAAAAAGTTGCTATTTTTAATCCATACACTGATATTTGTATCAATGCCTCCTTAATTACTTTAACATTATTTTCAATATTTTTGGGGGTAGGGCCACATCTCGCCTTGAACCATAGATCGGCACCGCCTACCCACTTCAGCACATCACTTCCAATCGCCTCCCTTTATCCTGGTTAAATAAAGGTGAATAAAATAATACAATCCTTAATTTCTCGCTCCTGGCATCCTGCACTTGTCATTCTGCACCTGTCATCCTGCTCCTGTCATCCTGCTCCTGGCACGCTGCTCCCTTGACAATCAGTTCTCAGTTTTCTTGTCACTTCACCACATCTCAGCTCTGTTTACAATTTGTTGTCACGATCTGGTATGTTGTACTGTTTTACACTCTTACATAAGAACGGTTTTAACTATTTTTGTTGATGCAATTTACCAAATGAGCACTCCATTATGACAAATAAAGAAAATCAAGTAAAGCAACAATTACTTTACCGAGAAAACTAGTGGAAGACTACAATGAAGAAAGGAGTATTTTTACAGCACTGTTCTTGTGACTTCTGTTATAATGAGGTGTGATCAAAGTCAGATGATAGTGATCTAATAAAAGAAGGTGCCGTCTCACATTAAGGTGACAATTTTGGTACTGCACTCCTTTAAGTCAATTAGAAACAATGTGAGGACCTGGCTTACAATGCAAACTAAGATGTTTTCTCAACAGACAGTAAAATTTACATCTATGGGAAGTATTTAGTTCAGTTCATTATTTAGTTTCAAAGATTAATTATGAAATACCTCGGTAAAAATGTATTTGGCAATGAAATCTGCCCTGTCTGGTGATCCTCTGTTGGTTTTTTACCCTTTTGTACGTGTAAAATGGCATATTTGTTTTGACGCAAATGGAGCATGCATCTCTCTGATTGGTTAATCCGTCTGTCAGTCACGCCCTCTGAAATTGTGGCAAGGGATTACGGTTCCAGACAAATTCATCTTTGTAATGTTTTATCAAAGCATTTGGTTCTGGCTTGACAGGCAATAAATACATAAAAATATAGCATTTTTAAACAATCTCAAAGACATATTTTTGATACATTTAGTGTTTAGTTAGTTACTGGCTGACTGAGAGCACAATATTTTTCTGGAGACATAATTATTTTGAGTTCTCCTAACCCCTGTCTCCTGCTGAAGTTTTTGTTACTGTATGCATGGGTGGTTCTTTTTAATCACCTTCTATCAACAAAGGCCTGGAGTAGTTTTACCCATAAATCATAGAGCAGAATGCCAGCCCTGACGTGTGGTGTCATTCATGTCACTGACAGATGAGTAAATGGTTAGTGAGACCCATTAGGAGTGAATGCTGTACCTCCATTTGTGCAGGGCAAATCCAGGGCACTGCTCGCCACAGGTAACACAAGGCTGTCCTCTGTATGCCTCCTCCGCACAGTTCAGCTACAGCAACACAGAAGAATCATGTGATGTTTCAAATGAAAAATGTGTAATACGGAAATTGTTGTTTTGGTTCAACAAAAAAGTTCCTTCTACATCATCATAAAATAAATGATTTAAATAGGGTTGCAAAAAGAGCTGATTAAAAACTTAAAGGTCTTATATTATGCAAAATTGACTATTGGCTCTTGTGAGTTTTAAGCCATGTTATAATGTCGCTTCTTCAAAAACATATCCAGAGTTGTGGTTTGTTTCATTCAAATGTGTTTGAGTAATCCTTTATTATTAGTGTCTACATCTCCAAAGCTCAAAATGCTCTATTGCACCTTGTGATGTCATGTAGCTGTAGTTTTCAGGTTAAAGGACTTCCTTTTTACTTTTTGTTCCATAGAAATTGTAAATTCCAGGGTTGAAATTATCCAAATGATTCTAGTGAAGGTGTATGGACTTTAACAGCACAGTGAAGCACTTCCTATACTACCACATGACATCACAAGGTGGAACAGATTGTTTTCTGTTTAAGAGAAGAGCTCAGCCTAAATTTGCAAGATTTATAAGTTAAACATACGTATTTGAAAGAAACAAAACATAACTCCATGTATGTTTGTGATGAGGAAACAACATTATAACAGATCAGAAAATTTTGTAAAATATGGGCCCATTAAATAACAAAACCTTGCAGTATAATCTTCCAAAGAGATGTCTGATTGCCATAATTGGGATAGTAAAAACAATTAGACTAGTTTATTTAAAATGGGACAGTACAATTTCATAAAACACATGATTAAACATGAGCAAAAAAATACAGAATTATCCAAGAGGCTATTTCTCATCTGTTATTCCCTGACCCTGATGTTAGAGGAACATGTGTCAAGAAAGAACTTTAAAACACGCACAAAATGTATATAGGCTAATGTAATATTAGCATATAATAGACTAAAATAACGTCACTTCGATGTTATTATTGTGGTTAATTATCTCCGCATCATTCCGATGTATAGTGCAGTAGTAGTGATTGGGAACCCACATGTTTACTGTCTTCATGATAATACCATGTGGAACAGAAAACATCTTCAAAATGCAAGCTGGAGTTATTTTAGCCCCTTTTTGCTATTTCATCATAAGTCCAAGTTATTCATCATGCTCGAAGCTAGTTAGCAAGGACACACAAAGTTTACATAGACAAGTGTTTGCATAGTGCTAAGCAACAAAACTTGGAGAAAATGCGTAAAGTGCGTACCGTCTTGGAGCAGCTGCCGGGGTGTCTCTTGAAACTCCGGTTTAACATGACAACAGGACCCAGAAAAGTGAACTCAAGTCCCGAAAACCTCAAAGAATCTATGATAAGTTAGTTTGAGATATATTGTTATTCTCTTCCAATGAGCTCAAACTCATCCTAGTCCACGCTCCGGGCGCAGGGGGAGTTGGATGGAGCGGTTCCGCCCACATGATCCGAGCAGCCAATGGGACTGGACGAGAAATAACGCTCTAAATTAGAACAGTTATTAAAAGGCCCATTTTACTGTATTTTCTGATCTATATTATAACATTGTTTCCTCATGAAAAACACACCTGGAGTTGTGTTTTGTTTCATTCACACATGTTTAACACACAAACCCTACATATTTAGACTGTGTGATGTCATGTGGTAATACAGGAAGTGTTCCACTGTGTTTTTAAACTCCAAACACCTTCACTAGAATCATTTGGATGATTTCAGCTCTGCAGTTGCCAATCTCTACTGAACAAAAGATAAAAGGTAGCTGTTAACTTTAAAACTATCGCTTCATGGCATCACAAGGTGGAACAGAGCATTTTAATCAGATCTCAGATGTCTCTCAAAATCTTACATATGAAGTAGCTAACTCACTAACCAATATTTGTTGTGTTTACCATAAGTTCCTAATTATTTTTTTTATTGAAGATAACAAAGATAACACATACAGTATGCTATAACTATTTCAGTTCACTCACTATTGACAATGACAATGATTTAGGTATTAAATGTTATATGTTTGCCAAATTAAGATAGCTTGTTGAAAAAGGAGTTGTGGTATAATGCATATTTTGAAAAGACAAACAATATATATATATTTTTAAATTTGTTTATTTTTATATCTTTATATCTTCGATTTTAATAGACAAACTTAACTTTATTTGATTGCAAACATGTCATGCTTTATATGGCACCTAATCACATACATTGTACATAAATTCATAAAAAGGACAGATCATTTTTAAAAAGAAATTTGCATTCTCTGTCGTTACTGCATACGGACTATGTACATTCACAAGAAAAGTGAAATAAATAATTATAAAATAGCACATGTGGTTTAGTAATACAGTACATATGACATTACAATGTACAATACAGTTAACATCAAAACCAAATGTCCCTTCATTATCATACAAGCCCTGAGAAGTAAATTTGATTTTGACAAACTGCTGGAGTTTTCATAAATAATCTCAAAGTTAAAAAGAATTCCCTTTGGCTGCTATACATGTTGTAGATTGACGCAGCTAATGTAAGTGTAGAAAAATAGCACCGTGTAAGTAAAGGCATTCAGGTTTATATGGCTTTGTGGTTCATTCAAACAAATCTTTACAAAGAATACAATTAAAAATACACTAAATAAACGTACCCTGATGTTGTGTCAATCAACTGAAAAAAAAAAAAAAAAAACACTGAAAAAATAGACAACAGTGCACATATCAATCATTATTACCACAGGTGCCACACTGAATGCTAGGCTTGCCATGACTTTAGTAATATGCAAATGGTCCTGACATTTACTCTGGTCAGGCCTGTCGACAGAAATTTGGGGGCCCGGGGCAAGAAGCCTCACATGGGTCCCTCTCTAATATAAATTAATAGGAAGAGGGTCCAATTCTGGGCCCCTAAAACCCTGAGGCCGGGACAACAGACTCCTTTGTCCACCCTTGTCTACTGCCCTGACTCTGGTTATTGTACACAATGGACGGTATAAATGTAAACATTGAGAGGCACACTACTACAGTACTTGCTGTATCTGGACATGGGCTTAACAATGTTTTTACAAATGGTATTTAAAGGTGCACTGCGTAGCTTTTCAGGCTGCTTTTACTTTGCCTGTAATGTTCCACAATATGATATTAAACATATATAAGATGCATGTATTCAATGATGGGTGTTTTTATTGTTCAAAAATACCTTTAGAAACATTCATTCTTACTGTGAGTGGGGTCACCAATTCACCAATTTAATGCCATACTTTTGAACATTGCAGGCAATGTGCTCCATGGAGACAAGCAACTGGCAGGCCCTCTACCAGAAAAGTTAGTGCACCTTTAAGTGTAATATAATTTCAGATGAGACAGTCAGCCATATTTTAGTTATATGTACTTGTTGTGTACTTGTGTTTTCATAATGTTTAAATAAGGACTGACCCATGCACTGAAAGCCTGAAAACCCACATTACAGTATCTATAGCATTTTGAAGAGGAAACGAGTTTTAAATGCTATTTAAATATATAAAAAATAGTTTGGAATGACACAATACAATACAAAATATTACAACACAATAAATAATGACATTTCCTACTATGTACAGATGTATACATGATTGTATTTACACTATAAACAAAGAGGTAATGTGATGGACGGGCTGTGGAGGAGCAAAAGGAGAAGACATCTTTGTAAATAAAACTTAATAAGGCTCAAAGGAAACTGAAGTATGTGCTAATATGGTGACAAATCCTTACAACAGCACAGGCTTCCTTTTAGACTTAGGAAAATAGGTACCACTTGGTAACATATGGTGTGCGTTTATGGGCGTTTCCACGCATTGGCCTACCAGTGTGATACGTCTATGCTACAGCCACAGGCAGACTGGAGACTGCAGACGGAGTACATTTGCCACAGTAGCCTCCACAGATTCCTGACACTCTGCTGCCATCCTGTGGACAAAACAGCATTGTGAGAGGAGTGCAAGAAATACACAGTGGTGAAAAATACTACATCTGGATTGGGGATGCACCAATACAATACTGAGGGCCCATCACATGACCATTACACTAACTAATAATGATATTAGCGCCAATACTGAAAATTTTACTGGATTAGATAATGGCTTCCAAATATCAGTTCAGGTGACATCCTGGTTGAGCATATAAATTAACTGATGTAATAAAACTAGAAAGTCTCCAGAAAGTCTCATCATCTTTGAACATTTATTTATTCAATGTTGTTCTACAATTACTTGAGAGAAAATTGCAGCTACTTAACACATTTGGATCAGCTTTGTCTTAACAAATTTGGATTATTTTTGTTTAAAGGAAAAAAATACAGTTTCCAGATGCTGTATATCAGGTGTCAGCAGATCCTTAAAGCTGTAGAATTGGGATCAGTACTGGAACTGAAAAAGTAGGATTGGTGCTCTCTAATCTGGATCAAATGTTATTATTGTAGAGTAAATTATGGCAATGTAAACAGAGAGGTAGTCAGTGTTCTCTATCCCTCTCTCAATTATGAGCTTAAAAAAGTAATGCATTTTCATGACGAGAGAGTTGTATTTCACCCTGAGGTAAAAAAAAAATATATATATATATATATATAAATAACTATATATGTTTTTGTCTTTTTACAAAATCATAATCTCAGTCTGTGTGTATAAGGTTTACCTGTGCCTTGTGTATATCAGCCACTGCATAGTTGCCGTGGGTGATCCATGAGGTGTCATCTGCCACTTTAAAACCAGTTCCTGAGAGGTTAAGCCGGAATTGTCCCTGAAATAAAGGACAAAGAGAAACATATTAATCAGTTGCTATACACACAAATGGCAGCCTCCTTACTATACTTGATGTAGTCCCACCTTTGCACACCGGCTGGCACTGAAGCAGTCGCCAGCTGTAGCAAATGGGATTTTCTGTCCTTCTCGGGTAAAAGCAAACTGCCAGTCAGTTGCTGAAGCATAAGAAAAAAAACATTGCATGTTAAATTGAACAGGAATGTATGAATTTGCACGTCATTATAATACATATCCTTCTATGAAATGTTTGAAATGTATTTTAAATAAATAGTTACATATTTTGTCTCATAAGAATGTTTAGAATTAACAAGCAGTCCAACTTGTTCTATAAGTGTCTCCAAGGATTCATAATTAAAGGTAGTATATTATGAAAAATGTACTCTTGTGAGATTTAAATCATGTTGTTACCTCATTTAAAACTTACCTGGAATTGTGTTTTGTTTCGTTCACACATGTTTGAGTAAACATTTATTATTAGTCTGCCTTCATCTCCAAAGCTCAAAATACTCTGTTTCGCCTTGTGATTTCATGTAGTGATGTTTATATGAAGTTTATAAATGCAGTGGAGCACTTCCTGTATTACCACATCACAAGGTGGAACAGAGTGTTTTCTGTTTGAGAGAAGAGCTCAACCTAAATATGCAGAATTTGTGTTAAATATGTGTAAATGACACAAAATGCAACTCTGAGTATGTTTGTGATGAGGAAACAACATTAGAACATAGATTACAAAATAGTGTAATTAAATTACTAAATAATTATTTCATTTCCAGGATAATTTGGTAAGTTTTGTCTCAAAATGTCTAAGCATGTATCAGAAACTCACTGATAATGTTCATGGTGCTTATATCAAGGCGGACTTTGGCGAAGGTGGTGATTCCAGCAGCCTTGTAGTCTTTACGACAATCACAGTCTTCTCTGTTTGAGCTGTTCACTGGGCACAGGGTTGGGTCATTGAGTCTAGAAAGCAAACATACAGCAACCATTATTATTATACTCAAAGGGCTATGTTAACTTGTATATCTTCATTTACCTAAAGCCAAAGATCTCAGAGAAATTCTCCCCTTCACCCGTTGTCAGGGTGATATACTCCTGAGGCATCTCTGTCTGCATTCCTGCACAGTAGACCTAAGACATAGTAGGGAGAGGAGAGGGGTGAGAGGTGAAGAGTCAAACAGAGTGGAAAGCTAATAAAATTTATCAAAAAAGTAAGAAAGTGTCAAACCAAAGTCAAATGGGATGAGATGAAACACAAACTACACCTGTTTTGTTTTATCATGTGTAATTTGATAGGAAAAACTTAAGTATAAATAGCTTAAATGTTAAACCTTGAGTGCTTTTCCTTGAATGTTGAGGACATGCTCATTGTCAGGGAGTGGTCCATTGAGGCTCCTGATGTCCAGGCAGCTCAGAGGTAAATGACCTAAACACAAAAGAAAATATAATTAAGTAAATACAAATGTACTACCAGTAAAAAGTGAAGTGGACTCCTCCTTAAACAGTGGTATTTGATATGTCTGCACTCACATGTCTGATGATTTCTGCAGGGTTTTCTAGAGTCTGGCATGACATCTGGTGAGCACCTATGGCCTTCCTGCCCATCTGCTGCCACACACTGCACCGTCCTCTCCATAACACCGACTCCACAGCTCACTGAGCACTGCACGCCATCAAAACATACTAATGACATGCTATTTTAACCACGTTTCTCATCATCATGTATGAGAATAGGGTGTTCATGTTTGAACAGCTATTGCCCTCTGGATTGGTTTGATCTTGTGCCATTCACTGACCACATGTCACATAAATGTCAGTGTATGCACTGAATACATTTAGAAAAATGTACACATTTGCTGTTGTTTTCCACATTTCTTACATGCTGTAAGATTAATCACAGTACTGTGACATTGAATGATGTGCTGTGTCAATACAAAATACAATGCACATTCATTTGCTACAGTCTATTTAACATTTTTGTGATTATCAAATGAATGTCGTCCATTGTCTCCTGGACACTTGATCATTATTATCCAGAGTACCACCACTCATTTGTTTTACAGTTTTAATTTGATAAAAAAGAAACAGGTTTGAGGCACTTACATGTCCCCAGCTGCCAACCCTCCATTCCTGTGCTTCTGTACATGGGCCTGGGCTGCAGGTCATGTATGTCTCTGGAGGAGTGCCCGGGCAGCTGGACAGAGACTGATGGCTGTACTCATAGTTGTCATTGTCCATATGTACCTCACTACAGGAGACCAGGCGATGGCGGTAGCCCTGCCCACAACTCACGGAGCACTGCAGCGTAAATGACAATGAATATAAGAGGCTCATTGAGGTCTGTCTGATGAGAGAAGAGTCCTGTCACGCACCTCAGACCAGTCCCCCGTGATCCAGATGTACTCACAGGCGTGAGTGTTGCAGCTCTCTATGTGTGGTGGTTTGATTTGGTTGACACAGTACATTTCATGCACCTCCTGCTCCTTATAGTCCACACACTGTAGGGCCCTGTGCCGATGGCCTGATCCACAAGACTTACTGCACTAGAGTCAACAAGACACATACAGTACGCATTAATGCAATATCTCAGGGTCACATGATCAGGGGCTGTGCACACATACACTGACACTGACTGTATTATTAAACTAACATCCAGTGATTCTATGAAAAACAACACCAGTACCCACAAACAGAAACAACTATGAAATACACCACACAATAATAGTGAACATATGACTGTTCTCCCAACCAGTGCAGTGAAAAAAGACTAGTTGAACTGTCATAATAACATCCTGCTGTTAATGGGACCACTTGGGCAGGGACCTCCACAAACTTTCTGCACTAATGAGAGCCTCCTTAAAGAAGACATATCATGCTGTTCCATGACCCACATTCAGTCCATGAAGACGAGTCTTCTGCGGCAGCTGCTGCTGCTACATGCTTCCTTCTTATATTCCCCACTCTAAATAAGAATTTATAGCCCCGAGCCTAGAGAAAAAAAGCATAACTCACAACAGGAATGCAGTCTTGAATCACTATAATTTAGGATCTTAAAAATGTTCAAATATTGTTACCTTAGTTTATTTACAGTATAAATTAAAATACTTGATTGAATTGAATGAACGATTCTGTGCTCTGAAGTTGTTGTGGAGTGGCCCCGATCGTACAATATAAACTATACACGGATAAGAAAGTAATGCTTTTTATTTCTTATTGGTATAGCTAGATAAGAGAAATTACACCAATCCACCAAATTCATCAGTGTTTCCTAAATCTGTGTAAAAGTAAACCCATCTGATGGGAGTTCCCTAGGGGTAGAGCTGCAGCTCTCCACCCCTCCTGTGGCCTCCTTTCTCTAACCCCACTCACTCTCTCACTCTCCCTCACTCTCTCACTCAGATGTGACGCAGCAGAGGGAAGGCTGCCTCTTCACAGAGTGTTAGATGGAACTTACTGTGTGCCACTGGCCCTCTCTCCAGCGGTAGTGTGAGGGGCAGTCTGCCACACGGCAGCTCTGGCTGGAGGCAGGTCTGGTGCGTGGGGCACAGTCAGTCTCCACAGTGCTGTGCCGCTCTCCAGTCTGGCAAAAGACCTCCCGCCGTTGAACGCCATCACCACATGTCACTGAACACTGGGGGTGGAATAGGTAAGGATTACTACTAACACTTTTTTATTTTGTTTTATTGTTTTCTGTTGAAGTGAAACAATAAAATGTATGCAAGTCTTTCTGAAGTGACAAGGATTTTTTTAACCTGCATCATTGAAAATTCTACTGATGTGAAAGATCTTATTACAGTATATGTTCATGTAATACCTAGAGTGTTTTTTCTTTCATTCACAGTCTGGGTTTAATGACTCATGCCATTCTTGCACATATACAGCAAGTGTATAGAATACACTCTTATGTTATAGTATGTGATTGAAATGTACCACAGGTAACAGTCCTGCACTGACCAGCCGCCACATGCAGACCACTATTTCCTCTTGGCCTCAGTCCAGCCAACAGCTGTCCTGGGCTGACTCAGATCAATTCTGTCATATGGAGGACACATGCTTGGACCTGAGAGCATTGGAGTGAATGTGAAGAATGAAGGTTGGGTGATACTAGGAAAGAAAATGAAGAAAAAAACACAAAGAGCTTTCCATGTGCGTATCGTCTGTGATGCCTCTGGCGTCACAAGTACTCCAGACAAGAAGTTTTGGATAACATGTACAGCCTGGTCCTTTACTTGAGTAGGATTAAGGGGAAAGAGTAAGATGAAAGGGACAGAAAGAAATATAAACATTGGGACTAAAATGGATTTTGCACTGGCTGGTGTTAATGTCAGGTTTATACTGAATCCACTCTACATCACTTCAATCAACCCTAACACCTTGTTTTGGCAGTCAGCAAACCACGTCATCATATGTTAAAGGCTCAGCACTGGGAGGAAATGCATTACTCTTTCATGCAGGTTTAGTCATCTCCTCACAAAGCTACATGGAGGTGGTGTATAGGGCAAAACAGATCTTTCAGCGGTCAGGACATACCTCCTCCCAGTCCCCGGTCGTCCACTTGGGGCACTGTCCTCCTCGGCAGCGCCTCTGCCTGCTGGGCTTTGCAGAGAGGTGCAGACAGTTCTGATCTGGGACACCACGCCCCGATCCTGTCACACAATTCACCTTACGGTACTTATAACCTCTTCCACAGGATGCAGAACACTACAGAATAAAAGAATACAGGTTATAATTTTGATAAGCTTACATATGACACGTTCACTATTTGATGTTTAGGGAGATGTTCTAATAGCTTTGCCTTTGTAATGTCCAATCAAAAGGGGAGGCTCACCCGGCAGTGTTGTGATTCACTTCCGAGTTGCTTGTGAGACATTAACACATGGTGACAGGCTGAGCAGTTGTGTTGTGCTTGGATAATCAAGGGGGTGTTGCATGTGGGATGGATAGAGACTGACAGGCCAGAGTTGAATGAGTGCGGGGCCCAGTGAGTGGTGCTCTCTCATTGAGTAAGCCTTAATACTGGCTATGAACTCTCACCTCATTCAGGGTGAGTTCATTGATGAGGGCGATGATGAAGTAAATGCATATTAAACAGTATATTGTTTTATTTCAATATTTTACAATTATGGTGCATGGGTCTAATTTCAACATTTGAATCTGGAACTTATATTAATTTAATTGTCTGTAAGAAATGCTGACACCTTCTTCTGGTAATATTCACATTTTAGCTGCTTTGATGTTTTTATTTTCTTTACATGGGACCTCAGGGATTTCCCAGAAGTCAACTGATGCTGAAGTAGAGAATGGGCACAGGAGGCCTCCCCTAATCAAACATAACCTTTGACCCACTATACATCACTACAGTGTCCTGCTCTTCACTGAAGTCACTCTCACTGGTCCACTGGTCCAGTCAGGATTAGACCAGGGGCCAGAGGGGCGGACAGCTTCATAGACTCGCATGTTTCGCCATTCCTCCCAGTAAAATACATGTGTTAGCTTTGAGATTGAATGAATATAATAATTAAGCAGATGATGACTCTGAGATCAACCTGAGCTCAAACTAAATTTGCCTTAGAGGCAATAGAATGTACTGTGAGTAAGGGAGAGTAGAAAATATGAGTAGTAATTAGACAAGTTTGCAGTAAAACATGTAAAGCAAAGTTTATGTGAATCATTTCCCATGAAGTGGGCCAGTTAATGTATGTGACAAAATAGTCAAAAAAGGAAAGAAAGCCGTTGATAGTACCTCGACTTCTTTTTAATTAAAAGTTGTTGGTTTTTTTCTCAAAATAAACACAGTCAAACATATCCATATGAAATTAAATACTGACAATACATTGTAATAAAACAATAAATACATGTAATAATTACATAAATATACAAAATCTTGAACAGAAACTAATACTGCCATTTGTGAAAAAGAAAATACAATATATACTTATCAGAACCTGTTGATTTGGCGTTAGAGCTGTAAACTCTGGAGCACCAAAATAAAAGAACAAATAAATGTAACATTTTTACATTGACCTTCGTAGCATACAGCTCTAAAGGTTGCTTGCCTGTAATCACACATGGGACCCATTATGTACAGTAGTTGTCTTTAGTAAATGAGCACAGTAAAAGGCACTCACTGCTGATTTAACAGGCCCTTAAAATAAGGTGTAATGTCAGCAAAGACATTTATGACCAAGAGGAATCAGCCGGGTGGGCTGTAGACACAGACTGCCCCCACCACAGATACCATATGAGGTTTAACTGGCCTCAAAGGTAGTCAACATGAGAAGGAAGACGAAACATAGAGTGGAACTATGCAAGAGCAGTGCAAGGCAGCCCTAACAATCCATGTTTCAATCCATCTAAGACAGCAGCTCTCTCTCCAGGGCAGGGAGAGGGCGGTGCAGTGGGGGGCAGTCATATCAGACACTGAGGTAGACATAATGTTGGCTCAGAGTAAGAGCTCCACAAACAAAGCATGTGTAACTTCCCCTGTGGTCACCTTCACTATTTGACAACTACACAGTTCTCATGAAGGTCAGGCTTAAAAAGCCAACAGGGTTTTCATTATGGAGCCATTTTAAAACACATATTGCTTATATAAAACATAAGAATCTCAATATGAATTGCCTATTAATCAAACATGTTTTGTCATAAAATTATATTTCACTAGTATTACTTCCCTTGCGTGTCATGTTAAAATACTGGCGTAATGGCGACTTGAGATAAATGTGAGGTATTTCTGCGTATATAGCAATTTTATCTAAACCATGTACAGACTATATGGAGCAAACGCAACCTTAAATATTATAAATATACACATGTTTAGCACCTTTGGAACAATTCAATGCATACATACAAAATTATTAAGGTGAATGTACGCTGAACCAGTCTCTTTTACACCAACATGGTTGCATTTGGATTCTTGGTACAGTTATTATTTAAGACGTTTGTACTACGATACAATGTGTATCTGGATTGGTCTTTGGAATCATAAGTGCTTCAAAAATAATATCAGTACCATTTCCAATAAATTGCATGTGCTTTCAGATATGTTTGTAATGGCACAAATATTTAAGGTGTATTTTGAGAAAATGTGTCATGATTCTAAATATGGGCCTTTCTTTGGCTAAAATACGAAAGGTTCTCTCTACTGCAAATTATTCCTGATGTACCAAATATTCATTTGCGATATATAAATGGATTTGTGGAGTGGATAAGCTAAAGAATAAAAAATAATTTATTGCTATTTACAATAACTGTAATAAATTATATTGGAAAATTATATTTTACAAAACTATGATTGTGTACAAAGGGATCCTGATTTTAGAGAAAAACTGAAAGGCTCAGGCTGTCCTATGTGGACTACTTTGTATGTAGTAACCACATGAACATTTTTTCAGCAGAGGCAAATATCTTATGGAAGTTTCAGATCCCAGAGTGGGGCAGGAAAAGAGGGTTAAGGTGAAGAATTGGAAGAGAAGCAGAAGTGATGTTTGTTTTATGAGCGTACCGAGCTCCAGGGGTCTGTGCTCCAGTGGGGGCCTGAGGGGCACGGCTGAGTATTGCACTGCTCCCGGTCCGGGGGCTTGTCATGGATCTCACAGCTCAGGTCATTGAAGCGCTCGCCATTTGGACGCTGACAAACCACAAGTCTTGTCTTAATGCCACCTCCACAAGGTTTGGTGCACTGCAAACACATGTTGACAAGTGCCTTTGAGTCAACTGCTTTCATATTTTTGGGTACAAAGAAAAATACATGTGTTTTTAAAAATAATACTTTGTATTTCAAGTGACCATTTATTCATTTTATTCTATAAAATCCAGATCTAAATTAAAAGAGAGATATTAATACTCCTACTACTTTACAATTACACATCGCACATTTTGTCAGTATAAACAGTATAAAAGTGTTTTGGCGGTACCTCTCCCCAGTCGCCGTAGATCCACTGCGGACATGGACCTGCCTCACAGGAGCGCTGCTCATCAGGCCTACTGCGCTCCTCACAGTGGTTGGCAGGGTAACCGTTTTCATCCTGGCACACCACCACTCGTCGCTGAAAGCCCCCTGCACAAGTGCTGGAGCACTATGGTCAGACACACATTAAACAAAGTTAAATATGTTGAGACTGTAACTTCTTATAGCATGTACTGCAGATAGAATAAAGCTCACCGCGCCCCAGGGTCCTGTCCTCCACTGGTGGGCCTGGTTGTGTGGAAGGCTGTTCCTCACGCTGCTATTGGGTGAGGCTGGGGTCAGACGAGGCTCGCTGGAGCGAGGACACTGAGACATAGCACAGTCCTGCTGAGTGTTTGGACGATCGTCCAGGTCACACTCACTGGCATCCACTTCCTGCTCATTGAAATTGACACAAAGCACTTGTCGTGTTGTCTTTCCCTGGCCACAAGTCACAGAGCACTGAAACACAGAAAATGTAAATACAGGTCAGTAACCCCTTGCCTTTTGAGTCATGGTTTAAGTGTTCTTCAGACCAATGCACAGGACCAGAATCAGTTTGCACTTGTGGATAAACATTTTTCCTTAGGGAGCGGCTTTGCCTTTGCGCCTTTGGCCTGGTGTGCAAGTGTGAGGGTGAACATGTTTGTATGTGCGGGGGTGTGCAGTGACCAGCGAGCAGTCAGACTGCACTGTATCACAGGGCTCTGATGAGAACCATCTGTAAACAAAGCTCTGCCCCTCACTCCAGCCCCTCACTCCAGCCCCTCTGCAGCCCATTCTGTGTGCACCTCCTACAGCACTTACAGCACACTTGTTACTCTCTGACACAATGAGTGCAACTGGGATTCCAGCTCATATTATAGCCATGTATCTGGCCCTGCACTGTAAAGCTATATGGATATGTGAAGTATAATTTTTCAACACAGTAGTAAGTTGATGAGTTTGTTAACTACTTACTGTTGACCACTCCAATACTTTCCACTGTCCACAAGCCACCACAGAGCACACTTCTCTTGCTGAGGGTTTTGGGAGGTGGGCACATGCTTGCTCGTCTGCAACAGCACCTTGATTGTCACGGCAACTTACATATCGCATACGACTCCCTTTTCCACAGCTGGCACTGCACTGTACCGGAGAAAATAAAATTAGCTGAAAAGCAACATATTGGATCAGAAATACTGATACTGATAAAACACAAACCTGTGTCCAGGAGCCATATCTCCACTGAGTTTTATGGCTCGGGTGAGAGGGCACTTTCGTCCCCGGGGGAACAGGCTGGCTGCTTGGACATTGGGCCACTTCACAGTCCTGTTAAAAACAACATACATCATCCAGTAAGAAGCTATTTGATAGCACAAACCACATGAGACCATATTAAAAATATGTTAGATGAGATACCTTGAGAAAGAAAAAGTTTATTTTCTAAGCACTGTGCTTAACCACAGTGTTTCCCATCATCCTCACACCCCACCCACGTTACCAAAACAACAAGAAATAAGTCGGCTGTCAGTTCAAACTATGGATTGTGGTAGTAAGCCACTCAGCATAAAGCCCTGATCCCTGTCATAACAGGTCATAGTGGAGTGGTATTTGGGCCTCCAATGCCAATGCTCTGCTGTGGTAAACTCCGCCCCCATCAACCGCATGTTGCTCACCTTCTGCCCTTTCACTTTTGTCTTTGTGCCCTCTGCTGCCCTCTGACCCCTCTCTCCAGAGGTAAGGCCCATAATCGAGTTGGACAGGCAGTGAGCAGGCTCCACATTCCACACTGAGCCTTTTTAAGGAAGTCACTTATGCTCTATGTACATGTGGGGAATGGAAACCACATCCAAAAATTGAACATTTAAAGCTAATTCATCATGCGTCCTATTCCCCTATTCCTCCACTCTATATCACATATAATCTCTTCTGATGTTGTGTAATGGCTCTAGTGATGGGAAAGGCTGGTCCAGTGGCCCAGTTCATGTCTGGCTGGTTGAAATCACAGTGAGGTGGGGCCATAGGCTCCACTTGGCCAGAGGCTAGAATTCAGACCTGCTTTTACTCTGGCATGACCACAATCTGTCTCAAATGCATTATCACACTTACACAAAATAAGGCAGTGATCTGATGAAAATCTGAGCTGAACTTGCAGTGTGTCAAAATGGTCTTTTTTACCTGGGTGTCAGTGGGACGGGTAGCAGCATTACATTCAGTGTCGTCCATCACAGCACCAAAAGAGCCCACAACACACTTGACTGCTCGCATCTGGTAACCTGGCCCACATGAGGTAGTGCACTGAGTTCAAAGAGAGAAAAAAGGAACAGTGGTGTGGGAGTATGAGAAAAAGACAAGAAAGGCATCCATCGGAATGACTACAAACACTACACAGAAGAAAACGAGTAAATTAGCCCCATCAGGAGCCAAATAATTTCTGCACTGCCAAGTCATTGGACCCTCCCCATTTCTCTTCTGCCTCACTGCCTCCAATAAAACAAGGTCAAATCGGTGTGGTGGCAACTTCAACTACTATTTGACTATGCTTCATTTAATGGCTTCAAATGTATCCTTGTATCTGCCCATCCTGGAATGTTCTGGCTCTGCATAAGGCTTTTGGCTAACATTTTTTAATATTTTACTGGACACATACACACATACAGTTAATATATTGTTGTAACATAAATCTTATGTTATTACCAAACAAGTAAAATTAGTTTAAGCAGTGTAATGATTTACAATAAACCTGCATAGCTGCTTATAATGGATTACAGTTACATAGAGCTTTTGAAGGCCACTGCAGTATGTTAAATTCATATTGCCGTCATACAGTGTGAGGGCTGTAGTCACAGCAGTTATAGAGCAGATTAATTCATCTGAAATGTCTTGCCAAATTACACAACATAGAAAGAATGAAACTGAACTGACCTGTCCCCAGGGTCCAACCTGCCAAGAGGCACACTCCTGCTGTAGGCACGTCTGAACTGACTCTGGTTTGGCTGAACCACAGTGGAGGTCGTCCAGTCGAGCTTCACCAAACTGACACCAAATCTGTCTGTGTTTGTAGCCTTTTCCACATGTAACCAGACACTACAACATTCAAACACAGCAAACTCAAGAGAAGCTAGAAATAACTTTTACTTAAACTAAGTCCTAAAAACATTTCAAATATCTTCACAAAAAGCAATGTACAGTCACCTCAGACCAGTCCCCACTTTTCCACAGAGGACATAGGAATTCATTGCAGGATTGGACGGTAAGCTTGTCCCTTTGGCTACACATGCTTTCATCGCCCCCAGTTTCTGCTGCCTTTCTGCACACTGCCCCTCGATGGCGGGTGCCTCCACCACAGCTCTTGGAGCACTACAAAACACACATGAGTAAACACAGAGCAGATACACACATTCAAAAGTCAGCTTTCATGTACTGTTCATTCTCACCTCTGACCAGGGCGAGTACTCCCAGCCTCCTGGGCTGCAGTCGCCATGGCAGCTTTCCTTGTCATCTGGTTTATGAACGTTGCTACAGTAACGGTCATCAACCTTTTGAGTCTTACTATCAGCATGATTTATTTTGGCACAGTATATTTCCAGGGTACGATATCCTGGGCCGCACTGAGCAGAGCACTCACTTTTACGGGCGATATACCACCTGTGTTACAGTTATATGTGGGTATGGGTAAATGGGCACACACTTGTGCTATGAAAGACTTGTTAACATCACAAACCTGAGTTCACAGTCAGTGTTGCAGGTCTCCGTGACGACAGCTGGCCTGGGTGTACCATGACACCTCTGGTCTGACACCACAACTCTGTCAGATTCTCTGCTACACACAATCTTTCGCTTTCGTTCACCTGTAGAAAAAAATCCAAGGAACAATTATAAGCAATAAAGATAAAATATAATTTTACATTATAGAATGTCAAGAATAATTAAACTATAAAATTTACATTCTATAAAATCTACATGATACTGAAATAAACATAGCACAGAACAAAAACTTGGTAAATATGAGTTTATTCCAAATTGAACTATCCAAATGGTTCCCCTTCAAGCATACACATATAAAAGACAAACTGTAGAGCAGTTATCCCATTAATGTTTGCAACCTTTCGTTTGTGGCTTCCTTACAGTTCTCACCTCTCTTTGCCAGTGTGTTTTACCTCCTACTCACCTTGGCATGGACGGCTGCACTCCTGCCAAGGCCCATAAGCATCCCAGAAGAAGTGCTGTGGTCTGTCCTCTATGGGAATGTTAAAAGAGTACCTGACATCTGGGTTGTAAAGATTTCCCACTGACAACACCTGGGAAAATACAGGCCCTTTACACACATATTCTGTAGACATTTAGACTCAAGTATAGTTATCAATTAAAGCTGTAAGACATTTTTCTGCAAACCAGATGAAGATGAGGTCATACCTGGACAATAATCTCATCTTCAATACGCTCAGTACAGTTGATCCTTTCAATGATATGGTCAGAGCCACTATACTCAAGGATAGCATTTCCAACTTTGATTTCCCTTTTGAACATGCTGACCACAAACTCGCCATTAAGAAGGAATTCCCCATGAGTATTTGATATGGCTGCAGTGAGATAACAAATAACACAATTCCACTTAGACTATTTAGTATAAAACATGGTTACAATTACAATTTAATCATCATACTATTTTAGATTTATAGAACTACAAAACAGCAATGTGCATTCGTCAGTTCCCTTGGATTACAACTATATTATGTGAGCCAACAGAAAGAGAACAACAAAGATTATTTTGTTCATCCTCAACAAACAAACACATTATGCAAAATCACATAAAGCACACACATCTGTCAGCCTTGATGAGATGGTCCCAGAGGCCTATCATATACCAGCATGCTCATAGCAACAAGATACTAACAAAATGGGCCTTGCTTTATAAACTGGCATATTGGGCTTACCAAGGTAATTGTCATCCTCTGGTTTTCCTGAGTAGCTGTGCTGCCGAATATCTATATTTGTAGCACCAACAGGTATGCGCACCACTTCATTATATCCTGTGAAGGAAGGGTTTAAAAAGACCCATGAGATTATACATCATACAATATCCATAGTAATTCCCATTGAGGTATGTAACATACCATAGCGGACAATGTTGAAGGTGCCCGCTATAGGTTTGCATGAAGAATTGTCTCCTCCACACACGCCACACTTGTCTCTCCTGGCTTTGGAGTTAAGGACATGGTCACAGCCTGCTTGCTTTATGAATTAAAAACAAAACACAGAAATTACATTCTATTTCAAAATATTTAATTTAAGTTTAAGTTTAAATGTTCTGATATTGTCTGACAAGTAACAGTTGGTACCTCATTTGTTTATAGGAAAATAAAAATAGAAACACAGCCACATGAATAGAAAGGGTCTTACCCTGCACAAGCCCTGCACACAGATGTCATTGGTGTCTGGCCCACATGTTGTGCCATCTGTAACTCTGTCCCTGAGCTGGTAGTAAGCGGTGCTGCCGGCCACCCTGCAGAAGAGCTTACAGCGATCCTTCATCAGAACTGAAACAATAGATGGCAGACTATCAAGGAACTGTCTATATGCTATTGTTCTTTCTGTCACAACACAAAAGCCTCACTTCCGCTGTACTTGGGAACCCAGCGAACATTTTGAGGTAGTCCGTTGATGTTAAAATGACGGCCATCAAAGTCAGCACACTGCTCCTCCCTGAAGTCCTTCTTCTGCCTGGAGCATGGCTCTGAGTTACACGAGCGAAACTTCATCCGACGGCCCACACAGTACATTCCACCATTTCTGGGCCTGAATAGAAACAATGTGCACACATGAGTCTGTAAAACTGTCTATCGTGCCTGTAGGAAGGTAAAATGTCATCTACAAAAGCACTATAACACAAAATAAGTCACTTCACAGTTCTTCATATCAGATTACAAGTGATGTTTTTTAGGAACAAGCTCAGATCAAAGACAATAGAAAAGAAGTGCTCACACTGGTCTGTTGCATTCCCGAGCAGCCACCTTGATACCTCCTCCACATGTGCGCGAACACGTTCCAAAAGGACTCCACACACCCCACGCTCCCTCCACAGGGGTGACATCCTGCTCTTTGGCTATGCACAGGCCATGCTTACAGTGCTACAAAAAGAGTTTAAATGAATACGTGACGTGAGATTTAGTTGAATAAACAATACAAGAAAGAATAGCAGAGACCAACAAGACAAAACACAGATGAAATAATGTTCACGCAACTGTGACCACAGGTAGAACGCTATAATGTGGAAAGGACATAACATTAAACAAAAACACATTATTGCATTCCATGCATGCAGCTCTTTAATCATTGTCCGAACATAATAATATTTCACACATAATATAAATAACTTACAACTGATCACTAGGAAAGAAACGGCAATGGCAGCATGAATAAAATGAAAATGTTTTTGAGAGTTCTTGAATGGCCACCAAAGTTTTACTATTTGACCACAATTTCACCATTGTAATGTACATTTCACATTTCAATTTATAATGACCTAAAATTATGAATTAAATCATTGAATGTAAGATATAGACATCCTTCGTTACATGTAAATTAATGCCAGATTTACCTTTCCAGGAGCACAGTCAGTGCCATCAGCCCAGGGCATGTGCTGGGTCCTGCAGCCCCTCTGGGCCCCCTCTGGGCTGGTGCACCACAGACGGCGACACTGGGTCTAAACAATTAACATGTACAGTATATGATTTGACTAATGAGAGTAAGCATTAATACATGGTTCATTCATTACACAGCATTTTAGCTACGTCAAGTGTGTTAAAACGGAACCACTGAAGAAATGTGTTTGGAGAGAGCACTCACCATATAAGGGCACACCTGTGTTCCTGGGCCGAATATCAATTCACATTGTTTATTGACACTGTATACCCGTCCAGGCAATTGTTGTGAAAGACTGTAGGGCCTAGAAACTGGCTCGTCAAGTAAACATTCACCATATCCTGTGCTATTTAGAAAAGAAAAGAGATTAAAGACAAAGAGGCACAAATACAGAAAACCCTAAAAGGTTACAAACAGTGATTATTCTATTTATGCCTAATGTCTATGAAACTCACTCCAGGAATTCTGTGATGAATTTCCTACTGCATTTGGACCACATCCAGGGATTTGTATTATAGTTCAGAGTGGGAGCCATCACATGCTGCTGTACTTTCACTCCATCCTCCTTGCACTTGTTGCTGTCATCGTGTGGCATGTTGAACCTGGAAGACAAAAAACAGGACCCAAAGAGATGGCAGTTACACAAGTAAACCTTTTACTTAAGACATGCACTTCACAGTTGTGTAACTTTTAAGCAGTTGACTGCGTATGCAGTCTCATAAATCTCCAATAGGTGCTCAGGCTCTTGGCTGGTGCTAGACTGAGTGACCCACTGCACAGGTACCATATGACACTAAGCTGTGTGGCTCAAGCTGTCACTGCCTAATTCACAGTTTAACAATCCTCTCTTTTGTTGAGGTCAGAAAGAGTATTTTCTGCAGATGACGGCTGTAACAGTCTCCAGTGTGGTCAGCTAACACCACAAGCACAGCCCTGCTCAGGACTTTGCACAGACTTAGTCACAGAGCCCACTCCCCCTCCCGACACAAGCAAACTTTCAAATAAAAATTTGTTGAAAATGTCATATATTATCCAGCTTAAAGATGCACTGCGCAACTTTACTGGTGGAGGGCCGACTACCTACTTGTCTTCATGAAGATTTGCTTTGGAATGTTCCCTGGTATGACATTAAACATATCCATCTAGCATTTATTCATTGCGGGTGTTGCTCAAAAATACAATAATTCCTTCTGTGAATGGGGGCAACTCTCCACAGATATGAATCGTAATGTAGTGTAGAGCTGTAACCTGCTTGATAGGTTTAATCTATACTGGGGAATATTCTACACAAAGCAATGTTATTTCCATAGAGACAAGCAGGTGGCAGACCCTCCACTATAAATATTATGCAGTGCAAAAAGAAAAAAGAAAAAAAAAAACACAGCCAGATACTTTTATTTCATATTCTATCCCTTAAAAAATAAAATACCAGGTCACTGGTAGGGACTGAAACAATTTAAATGCTCAGAGAAGATCAATTGTGTTTGTGTCTGCTATATAGCCATATTCTATGATCATCATTATGTTATAATTTGTGCATTTTAAATTACAATATTCACCTAAAATTACTTAACAAAAGCACCAAGTCAATGTCACTGTAAATGTCATCAAAACAAATAGTTGGCATCTCATATGGATGGCTGCAGATATTGAAAATAAGCAATTAAAGATTCCTCAAACATGCACAAATCACTCCAAATATAACTTAAGGGAAACAAACTATACATGGTTAAAAGCTTTAAAAAGTCGATTTTGCATTATAGGTCTGCTTTAAATGATCGGAACACAGGATTTGTCAAAAAGGCATGAAGTAAATAAGTTGAGCACATGTGGTCTCAATTAAAAAAGATGCCATACTAAGACTTTGCTCTTTAAAGGTGCACTATGTAACTTTTCTGATGGAGGGTCTGCAACCATGTTTGTCACTAAAGACATTACTTTGCCAGTAATGTTCCACAGTATGGCATTAAACTTCAATTCTATTCTTCTACTCAACTACCCCTGTAGTTGAATAAATGCAGAGATCTGACCAGAAAAATTACATAGTTCTCCTTTAAAACCAATAAACGTACACCACCTGACTGTACCATTCAATACTTACACATGGCCAAGTTCATGAGCAATGGTGAACGCAGTACTGAGTCCGTTATCTTCACTAATGCTGCAGCTCCTGTATGGATCACACACAGTTCCCAGTTCTGCAAGCCCTGAAATATACAATATTATTTGCCATTGTTATTTTTTATAATTCATCACAATAATTTAGAATTAAAAAAATTGTGTATATATTGAACTTACCTAATGTGTCACATTTATCTCTTGCTCGACAGATGTCTTGTCTGTACAAAGGATACAAAATAAGTTCAAGTGCACAACAGAATCACACGATGCAGTAATTTCTCGTTTTAGTTACAATAATAATGATACGATAGTTTGTTTAAAGGACCCATATTCCACAATTTTCTGATCTGTTATAATGTTGTTTCCTCATCAGTGGTGGCTGTTGAAAACTACCGCTTCATGACATCACAAGGTGGAACAGAGCATTTTGAACTTTGCAGATGTAGATGGACTAATAAACCAGGGTTACTCAAACATGTGTAAATGAAACAAAAACTTTTGTTTTTGAGAAGGTAATAGCATTATAACATGGCTAAAAGCTCATAAGAATCTATTTTGTGTAATATAGGACCTTTAATACAAGAAACTCAATAAAAATGAATGTGTATAAAAATAATCATATGAAATTCCTGCACCTTGTGATGAGGATGGCTGTGTCATGATGAGAATGATGGTTGTCATCTAGAATGTTTTGACTCTGCTGCCAAATACAGAAGTTTTTTAAAGTGGTCTGTGCATTGAAAGAAATGACTGGACCCTCCTGAAATAAGAAAATCGGCAAACAATGAGAGTTTGTCAGTGATACGTAAACAGCTTCGACTATAAACTGCATTACTAGGCCTGTCACGATAACAAATTTTGAAGGGGAACACAATGCTGAAGAAAATATAAAGGATAAACGATAATACTGAAATCAAACTGTAAAGCAGAATTACTTCCCAAAAAACTTATAGTTCTAATTCTTCAAATTCTAAATGTATAATATTGTAAAAAAAAAAAAAAAATTCAACTGCAATAAAGAAATAACAGAATGCATGTAGTTTGTATCTATAATGAGATACAGAAGCTCATAGTTCAAACCTCGATAGGTCATCATAGTATCTAAAAATAACCAAAAATTTCCCACTAGCGCGAAGAAAAAGTCCCCCCCCTAAATAGTTTTTATCATGACAGGCCTATGTATTACTTATTATAATTACCTGTTCATGGTTAATAATGACCAACTTTACAATCACAATGTTTATGACATTTCCAATGCTGGGATCTTTGTAGATTGAAGACACCTGTATTTAAAATGGATAAAGTGTGAACATTGGTGAAAGTCTAAAAAGAAATGAACAATAATACAATGCACTTGAAGGACTTTTGTTTTTCTGTCTATAACAAAGCGGTGTTCGGGGATGATGTTGACAAGACCGTGACCTCCCGTTGAGAATACAATCATGGCCAAGATCAAAATATAGGTCATCTCAGTTCTCATTGGGAGCTGCTGGTCCCAGACAACAATGGAAGTTAATATTTGGGAGCAGGAACGTAGTGAGAAACTGGATTGTGTTCTATATTTAAAAGCATCAAGTTGGGATGAAAATAGTGCTATGATACTAAAATTTCAAACTTGATTTTCATACTAAGCAAAAAATTTGACACGGATTTGGATACCACAATGATAACAGACTACAATGGATAATAAAATATAAATTTCATCACAAAATAACACTAGTTTCATTCATTGCTAGGGCAACAGTCATATTTTTTCATCACGCTGAAAAACAGTGTTCAATTTTGTGTATTTATGTGATTGTATTTAGTATTGTTTAGTATCTACTTCTGTAGAAGTACACTAGTTTTAGTATCCATTAGTGTTGATTTTTCTAAACCCCTATGAATAACACAGGCTCTGCTTTCTAAGACAGTTTGACGTTTTGCAGATGTTGGAGCGTAAATAGTCTAAAATCAAATATCTCCTGACCTGATATGCCCTGAATGACTGATGAAGAAAATACCACATAAACAGACTTGCTGAGTGTGAGAACTTACAATGGACATCAGTGTTAGAATGTAATGCTGTAAATTGCTGCCATGGTGCTCCACCATTTTGCTGTCGGCGACCAGCATGACTTCAACAAAGCGCGGGTAGGAGAGGAAACGCTTTGATCTCCTGTGAGGTCCGGAGTCACCGCTGCTATCATTTGAGGGTCTAGCACTGCTAGAATTGCTGCTTTCCGAAGCAAAAAGTGCTCCACTGGTTAGTCCAGAATTCAATGTCTCAATGTCACTGAGAATATTAGATGTGACCACAGGCGCAGCAGTGGTCACCCCAGCAGCCGGCCTTCTCCTTCGTGTGTGTCTTGTATGTCTTTGTTTATGCCCTACAAAAAGAACCCAAAACAGAAGCATTTGTAACCATATATTATAAAGCAAACAGAACAGTGCATTTTCCATAGGAAACATGTTACAATATTTGAACAGTTTTTTCTGATTCTCTTCTCATTGTCTGAAAAATGGGGGGCATTGTGTGGAGAGTTCAGGCTAGGTAAAGCTGGCGTCCAGCCATAAAATTCAAGAATAAACTGTAGTGGCAGACTTAAAAGAGGCAGTAGACCTAAACAGAAAAGAGACTGATTTGACCAGAGTTTTGTCTTAACCTTTAGACTTTAGTCAGAGGTAATCTTAATACTCAAGATGTACATGAATGCTCAGTTCAAATGGTTAGAGGACTACCTTTCATCTACACTATCATGACTAAATAAACATATCCAAAGATATGACACAAAAAGAAATATACACTTTAGATTTAAATATTGAAATGTGTCTTTGTGCCCTTTGGCTCTGTGCATCTGCATGACGGTCTTATCAAAGAGTGAGAGGAAGTCCAGAGTCAACAGGACATGGAGCTGTAAACTGAGATGGGATGATACAAGACTGAACTTCCCAAAGACTTTTCCTGTGACAGCTGGAGATCCTGCACGGACCTGATGCCCTGCTCATTATTACACAATCCCATACGATCAAGATATATCAGGTATACACGTTCTACATCTGGTAGATTATAAATATGCTATTTGGCTGGTCTCAGATTTCCCATACTTATTTTTAGTATGTACAACTACTAATTAGTCTGCTCCCCAATAAGTAAAGTTTTTGCTATCTAAGCAGCATGTGTTTTGTAGTACCTGCTGTGTCACATGTGGATTTATCCTCAGATATATCTTTTTTGGAAGCGGTCTTCTTATAAACAATATGAGGTTTTGTGTGTTCCTCTTCATAGTGTTCTCCTTGGTAGCTGTGTAGGGGTTCCACAAAAAACTCCCCCTCTGGAGACCTAAAAGTGCCCAGCTGAATATAAATAAAAATATATGCTGTTATCAATCATCCATTCTATCCATTCACCACCACACAAGTCAGTCGTGTTGCACTATCTTAGATTTGGACATATTTAATAAACCATTGTGATGCTTCTCTTCTAATACCCTGTGTATGGTCCTAAACTCAAGTGCCTGGAGGCTGGCTCTGTGCGCTATGACGTCTGTCTAGTCATAATCCCGCTGCAAAAACGTGCGTAAAGACGTCACCGGCTTCACTCCAGAGATGCACGGACGTAAGATACAGAGCAAAGTGTTCATTAAAGTCGTCAAGAAGGAGAGCAGCTAAGAGCATTCTTCCGCCGGTCAAACACTACTTTGATTTACTAACTGCAGTCAGTGCAAAGAGAGAGAGAAGGCGCCTTTTCTAAACTACAACTTCTCATAAGCTTTAACTTCACAGTACCTTTCGTGTAAAATCCTGATGAAATTAAGAATTCATAAGGATAAAATGCTTTAAACTAGAATTAAAATATTATTAAAATGTTACTACAGTACTGATGACACGTTAAGATGCAAATAAAGTTGTGCGTAAAAACTCACCAATCCAGAGCACAGACTGATGGCCGCGGCGTGTTCAGAACGTGCATTTACGTATCCTTTGTAGAAACAGTGCCGCAGCTCAGTGTCCTCCTCGTCCTGCTCATCTGTTGCAAAAGCCGTACTGTTTTCTCTGCGGTGTAGTCCTAGTACTGTCACAGTGTACAGAGGTGCGATAAATCCCGAATCTCGCGTGAGGTTCAAGTGGTAGCTCTGACCAAAGGCACGGATCCTGTAGTGAATATTTGGTGAGGCCCAGTGATCCGGCGCACTGCCAGTGTTCTCGTCCAAACTTCGCCTTTTCCTCTTAAAATGCATAGTTGTTGGAAACTTGTCACCGACTTCATTCACACGTACAGGGGTCACAATTTCATAAACACTGGAGTCCTCCTTTCCTAGAGTGCAAACAGTTAAGAAAAAAAGGTGTTAATTGATTCCATGCGGTTTTTACATTCAATTCATTCAAAGATAGGAAGATGCAAAGCTATTTCCTCCTGTCAGTGAACTTTTTTCTGGGGGGAAAAAACTATATGGCTGTGGCTGCATTCAAAATCCATTCATTCGTAACCCTCCGCGGTGGTGCAAGAAAAGTAGTAGAAGAAAGTAACCGTGGGCGTTCAAAGGCGTCATACTGTACCTGTATTCTGATTTAAAAGCAGTTTCTCCGGTAACGCGACTACATTCAATACATCAGGGAATAGTAGCAACCCTAGACCCCAGAGAAGCACATGCATGATTGTTCACGTTCAGAATAGAGCGACAGTCCGTATTGCTGTGAAGTTCTGCTCTTGGTCCGGTCGCTCCGGGCTGTCGGCCCTCTGTCCGTCTGCCACATCCAACTTGGTTATCCTCGACTCCTGAGTAGCTTATTTGTGGCCGCGGAAACATAGGGTCGGGACGTGAGCGCTCCACGGAGAGCCTGGTGAACATGCATTCTGCACACAGAAGTGGGCTGCTCCAGCGTTCGCCTGCGATGGTCTCTGCGGCTGCCTGTGCACCAGCTCTGCACAGCGAGGGGCGGGCTTACGCGCTCAACTTAGTGTCCCACAGTCAAGCCCCTCCTGCTAGTCACTGTGGTAAGGGGTCATTTATGTCCACTACGAGGGAATAAAGTAGCACATATTTAAAATAGTTAGTCAGACTGCTATAGGCTAATAGATGTACAAAGGAAACTTACTCAACAAGTGATTTCCTTACTTAGGCAACATGTGCAAGACAAATTGTGCTTATACAACAATTACTACACTTCTGGGACAGTCATGTACACTCCCTAAAGTTACTAGTAATGTTATTACAATTACCACCACTGCCACAGATGTTTTGCAATTGTTCCATTATTGTTGTTGGCCCTAAATGTTATGAAATTTATGCAAAATCAAATGCAATACCCGCCTTGTTCTGGTACACTTAACTGTAATCACCAGTTGTGTGATGATCAGCATAAGGCAATAGAGCCTGTTGCCATTGCAGATTAATGTAAAACTCCATCAACCAACTGTAATTTAATAAACGTAAAGATTAGATTTAGATTAGATTAGATTTATTGCTATTGTACTCACTCGACTCGGACTTGAGGTCAGAGACTTGAGACTTATTTGGGACTTGCAAAATGACTTGGTCCCACCTCTGATACTCAGCCAACACATGCTGCTTAGTTACACTGCAGTGGACAGCCTAACAAACAGCAGTGTAGGTAGTTTTACATAAGAAATGACAGGAGGTGACAAAGGCAACAGATCTTAAAAGATGGTGAGGATGTCCTTGGAGGTTACAGAACAGAATAGGAATAGAGGAAAAACGCTTGAGGAAATGCTATAACATCCTTGCATCACCAACTATTTAATGCAATATACAGCAATATTGGAATTATCGATACATCATTATATTACATATTTTCTTTCCTTGTTAACAGTTTTCAGGAGTCTCCGTAAACCGTTGTAACAGCTGTGGGGTCAGACAGAAGTGCTTAATGTGCACTTGTTTGGCTCATTGACTTCTGAAGTGTTAAAGATTTAGTTTGAAATGGAAAGTCTCCCCCCATTTCTAAGTAATTGTAACTCTCATTATCCCCAGTCACTGACCATTTAAACTAACAAGTCTATGAAGATATTTAGACTTTAAAATACAACTATTCATTCAATTGTGTTCTCCCATGATGCTTGTCACACCTTGATTGTAACAAGACAGATTAGAGTTGGTTTCTGAATAATTGCTGTGTTGCCCATGAAGCAATAACATTTCTTCGGAAAGAAACAGACCTCCCACTAGAAAAAGTACACCGTGCACCTATAAATAAAATAAATTAAAAAAATGTGGGACCATAATTGTGAACTGAACTGCACAATTTATTTTCTTTAAAAATTTATATCAAAATTGAGTCATGTCTAATGATCTCTTGTCTCTTCTTGTGAAAATTGTGTCTCGTCATCTAGCTCCAGTGTAAAAACGCCTACTCTGAGGTATTTAGGATTAATGACATTGAGGTATAGGTCAAAAGTTGTGAACACGTGTACTCATGAGCAATGGAATACTCAGGTAAAAGTAAAAGTATCACATGAAAAAAATCTACTTCAGTAAAAGCATTAAGTTTAAAAACGTGCTTCAAGAGTAAAACGTAAATGTATTTTGTACAGATTTTGAGAAGCAATAAAGCTTGAGATGTAGTGATTTTACTAAAGATTTGTGCTGAATTTTGTTCAACAGAAACAATAAAAGAAATCTAGCTATTCTTATTTGTAGTTTTGTTTGCTCAAACTATAAACATGCTCAAAATAAACCCCACAGGTTTGTCAGCAGGTCTCTGACAATAATAAAAAATACATTTACTTTTCAGTCCTGTTTAAAAATGCGGTCTCTCCATGGAGATGTTATTGCTTTGTCTGGAATGTTTCACAGTATGGTATTAAACTTTTCTATCTTCATGTAGCCTGATTCATCTGTTGGTTTCACTTCGTGGAAACCGTCTGACCTCGCAATGTTAGAATTCGTTCGCTTGACAGTAGGTGGGTACTTTTTTCATTTAACCAATCGCTGCTATTTGGTGGTGACGTATGTAATGTGCCACTAACGGGGCTAACTGTTATATTAAGCTTTTCATAAATCCTGTAGGTAAAAGGGCAATAACGTCTTTCCCCTTGATAAAATTCAATGAAAATTCTCTTTGTTTCGGCTTTAAATCCTCGATCTTGGGAATCGTTGCCAACAACGAATGTATGGCTCTTCGCTGATTGGCTGGTGAACGGACTCACACTTCCAGGGTTTTTTCAAACCGTCTAGTGTATTCCAATTCCTGACCTAGTCGCTAGAGAGAAATTAAATTGAGTGGAGGTACTAGATGGCACCAGGCTGGCTAATCTTCATAGAGACCAAACCTGACCAAGTTACAGGTCAGATCTGTGAAGAGGCAATCCCGCTTACAATCAAAATGTCTACGTTTAAAGGTATTTTTGAGCTATAAAACCACCTGTAATTATATAAATATAAGGTGGAGGTGTTTATGTCATACTGTGGAACATTCCAGGCAGAGTAATGACATATCTATAGAATCAAGCAGGTGACAGATCTTGACCAAAACGTTTCATAGTGCACATTTAAATTAAGTACAAATACTTTAAATTAAGTACAAATACTCAAAACACAAAAGTTTACATCTTTTTGACTTTTGGTTCAGCATCATTCAGCTTTGTGCTTGTCAATGGAGCCTCCGAGGGTGTGTGTTCTCAATGGACGGTCACTGGGGTCAGACAGTGAGTTGTACACAGACAGTATCAGTGAGAGCCGCTATCAGCAGTGTAAACTTCACTTCCCCTTTAAATCAGATAATAGGCTGAGAGGGAGCAGAGCTTGAATGAAGTGGCCCTGCCTGGTGTAAGGATTTCAAAGAGAGACCCTTTAAGTTGAGAGCTTTCAAAATCTCATTTGACTTGACCCCGCCCTGACAGACTACAGTCTCCGCGTGAGCTGCCAGTCATGAAAGAGCAGGATTTGAAGTGAGGGTCCACGGAGTTCTGCAGAGACTTTTACAGACAGGGATTGACACATGTACAGCAGAGAGTGGACTCTGTGGTACATGAGTTCATGGGTGGGGAGTGATTCAAATTCCAGGTTTTGGAAATGAGTCTTAGTCATTGAAAAGAAAAAGAAAATAATAAACACAAGAGGTCATTTTTTTCCACGCAAGAGTTCAGAAACCACAGGTTGAGCATCACACTTCCTCACAGTTCGAGAATCGAAGTCCAATGAAAAGTGGATTTGATTGAAAAACTGGGCCTAATTGGTCAAAAACACAAATAAATACCTCATTAAAAATAAGTTACCTTACTAACCCACTAGAGGAATAAACTATATGAATGCATGAATAAATCAGTGGGCAGAGATAGGTAGAGTATAGCCACTAAATAATTACTCAAGTAAGAAAAGTTTTTTAAAAGTATGTGAAGCAACTACTTGTGTACTGATTAACAGAGAATTTACATATCAGGATATCAATTAGTGCAGATGTTTGAATCATTTCATATTGTTCACATAAAGCTTTTAACACTGCAGAGTTACTCACAGTACTTCAAAAATCAAAAGTCATTCAAAAGTTTGAAGTATTGCCACTCAAATAAATGTATTACTACTCATTTCTGCACTGGGTCACCTCTATGTGTATGTTTTTTTGCTTTGAGAGGAGCTTTTACTGCACAAGTCTAACAGCTGTACACAAGTGTTTTCCAGATCTCTCTCTCTCTTCTCTCTTTCTCTCTCTCCCTCTTTCTCCCTGTCCTCTTCCCCTCATTCGTTTTCTTACTCTCTCTCTTTTCTCCCTCTTTCTGTCCGTCTCTCTCTCTCTCTTTGCCTCTTTCTCTCTCTTTTCTCTTTCTGTCTCTGTCTCCCTGTCTTTTTCCCTCCCTCCTCTCTCTCACTCTCTCTCACTCACTCTCTCCCTCTCTCTCTTTCTTTCTTTCTCTGTCTCTTTCCCTCCCCCATCTCTCTCACTCTTTCTCTCTCTTTCTTTCTCCTTCTTTCTTCTGTGTCTCTCCCTGTCTCTTTCCCCTCCTCTCTCTCTCTTTCTCTCTGCCCCCCTCCCCCCATCTCCCCCCTTCTCTCTATTCGCCCCATCTCTCTCTGTCTCCATGTCTCTCCCCTTTCTCTCTCTGCCCCCCTCTCTCTCTGTCTCCCTGTCTCTTTCCTCTCTCTCTCTCTCTCTCTCTCTCTCTCTCTCTCTCTCTCCCTCTCTCTCTCTCTCTCTGTCTCTCTCTCTCTCTCTCTGAGGAATGGTACGGGCTGCACAGTCCAGACTCATCAGGCAGAGATAAGAAGAGGCAGAGTTCAACAGGGTTCAGTAGAGACCGGGTCAAATGTCTCCTCAAGATGACCTGGCGTCGTTTGTTTAAAGAGGCGTACTTTACTTTACGGCACAGTAATGTTAAAAGGCTGCAAATACAACCTGTAACTGGCATAATGAAGGACACATGCATCTGCAGACCTGTTTCCATAATATAACCAAGAATAATGCATTTTTTCCTGGTGATTTAGACTTAATAGTGGGTTTGGGTCAATGTTTGGCTCAATCATAAAACCTTGTAATAAACCAGAATGACAGATGTGCCCCATTTTCATGACTAATTACTTTGGATGCAACAGTATCGCTTTCTCTAGATATAAATATTGATATCATCTTGTAATATGTTTTTGGCCTCATAAGAACAAAAACAAACTAGGTCTCTATTATTCTTTTCATCATTATCAACAAACATAACATTTTATTCAATTACATAATCACACCTCTGTTTAAACATTGCAGAGCTGTTTATGGAGCTGTTTTCCTGCATATCTGAAAGTAGAATTAAAGGTCCTATATTACACAAAATTGATTCTTGGGAGCTTTAACCCAAGTTTGAATGTTGTTACTTGATCGAAAACATACCCAGAGTTGTATTTAGTTTCATTAATTATTGAGTAATCTTTTAATATTACTCTAGCCTGATTCAACAACTGGTTTCACTTTGTAGAAACCGTCTGACCTCGCAGCATTAGGATTCGTTTGCTTGGTGGTAGGCAGGTACTTTTTTTATTTTACCAATGGCTGCTATTTTGTCA